TCTTGCCAGTAATAAAACATACATTATAATCATAATCATTTACCATGGCAACCTTCTACAGGATTCAAATATTTGCACATATTAGAAATCAGAAAGGAGAAAGGAACCACAACACTAACAGCTTGTTTTTTTTTTTACAGTAGCAGCAGGTTTAATAAGCGAAGTATTTCACATTAACTCTAATTCTGAGTATTACTAAAGGCTTTATTTAAATATAGATAATGTCTGAGGATTTTCTTTAACATCCAGAAGAAGCACAACCAGAAAAGAAAGAGTTTAAACGACTGTTAACATACTGCAGGGATCTGCTCATGTGCACTAACAAAACATTCAGGACACTCAGCAGGGCGTCTTTTTATTGCTCGTAATATGGGCTAAAATCATTTGTTCAACGGTAGTTGAAAACCTCCTAAGCTTCTAGAAGGCAGGAGGGGGCTGAGACTTGGCCGGCGTTGAAACAGCAATGTGGGCCCAAGGTGCCATTAGTGGCTGTGGAGCAGCTGGAAGTGATTCCAAAAACATGGCGAGAAGGAGGCAGTTTAAAACCACATGGTTTCAACTGGGTTTTCACACTGTTCTTGGCAATTTACAACTAATGGCTTCACGCGGCCTCAATGTGACTTTGTTTGTGTTCCACAAGAAAGACAACAGCGATGATCAGAATAAAAATGTGCAACAATGATTTAATGCCCAGCGCAGCAGCATGGCTACTGTATTATAGGTGTTAATGGGCTTATGGAGAGTATATGATCCCACATGGGGAGTGAGAGAAGGCCATCTGCTTCCTGTCTGTGACCCAGAGAGACTTTGTTTTGGGTGTCTAAAAGTGCTGCCTTACTGACCAAAAATCAGAGCGTGACTTTTCTGTGTAATACTTCAATAATTATGTAAGGCTGGTAAATCAAAACACATTTATCATGTTAGATTGACTAGAATGTGCGTATGAAGTCCAAATGCATTACATGGCAGTTTACACCTTTTTTAAATGCTCGGTCAACTGAAAGTTTGGATGAGTCAGCATTTCTAAAGGTCACCATTGTATGTAAGCTTCATTACTCAGTCTGATTAGCATCACCCTTCAGTTGCGGGACTTGGTAAATGGTTGTCATAGTTACAGGAGCTGTTAAATAGGGAAATTATACTGACCTGTTTTTGCAGCTTTTTGCTGCTATGGAGCCACAAGCCATCAACTTGTGTGCACAATCCACTGCTGAAAACAAGTTTTTATCTCGTGCACGCTAGTTATCATGTGGGTACAACTTAAAATCTTGTCTGCACAATTGTGGGGATAATAATACTGTGTGCACCAGATCTTGTGCTCACTAGGTTTTATCTTGAAGGTCTTTACACAGCAGGTTATAGGTGAAGCGATGTGAATAAGCGACACGAAAAAGTGAATGTTTTACAGGTGAATTTTTTCAGTACACACCGGGCGCAACGTGATTATGCGAGTAAAATCCGCTAAGCGCATTAAGATTGGCGCTTTTTCTTTTCTTCATATATAAACATTTACTGGACTTTGAAAAAGTTGCCCCGAGCTGGTTGGTTAGCTAGCTAGCTTAGCATCATATTTTGCTAGCCATGTTACACATCTATGTTTGAGGATTGATATAACATCAATATACTCACCAGGTTAGTTGAAGTCTTCCTCTGTTTCCTGCCATATATTTTCTTTGAGGAGAGTGTTGTGGAATATTTGTCCCATAAAGCAGGGCGCTCCTGCACACTAATGATGAATGAAAGCAGACTACGGCTGATGCTGTCAGTAAAGTTTGGATGTGATGTCATCGACATACTAACATCATTTTGATTGGTCACAGGTCTGGCTGTTCGCCTTTCCGCAAAATTAGACACAAGAGTGAATAAATAACAGTCGCTTTTTCGCCCCACGAATTCGCCGCCGGTGTGTAAGGACCTTAAGTATGACATCTTGTGCACTCTGTATTATATTGTGTAGGGCCTGACTGATATGGATTTTTTGGAGACGATGCCGATACTGATTATTAGGGGGGGATCCAAGTTTTTATGTATGACGTTTAGTTTGTTCATCTTTTTGGAACATCAGGGACTCCATACTTATTCAGTATCTCCCTAGATTTAGTCCTTTTCTATTTCAGCATGCTCTTAATAAATCCTGCTATACTGAAGTGCTTTAATTGTTGTGTTAAAAAATCATTAGCTATGAACCGTCCACCTCCCTGGGTTCCTTTTCTTCTTCCTTTTAAGCATAAATAACCCGTTGTAAGTGTGACAGCCAAAAACACACTTTCTCTGATAAAAAGCCGTGTACATTATCTCGCAGACTGCACCGTGAAGGGTCTCTCGTGTTGAGGATCATGTGCCGGGCTGTCTCTCCTACAGTACAGTAAGTCGACAGGCCTGTTTAAAAAGCCCACCTGAATAAACTTCCTGTGCTATCTGCTCTAATTATGGGATTATCCCTCAGGAATTCTTATGGGCACAGCAACACACATGTGCACAGAAACAGACACTCTCGACCTGAACACCAAAACACACACAGTTTGTTACTCTAGTTGGGAATTCCCTATGTGTTGTAACAGTAGAATATACTTATTATTGTTAAAAATGACATTAACATGTTAATTTTACTTGTTTAAAAGGAATAAATATGTAAATAATTTAGGACTTGTCCATTAAACAACCTCTGAATGCACCCCAATCTGCGAGTAAAAGTAAATGACCATTATTCAGTGTTAAATTCACCCTATCTAATAGGCTATGAGGTAGATTGAATTTATCAGATTTGCGATGTTATTATCCAATCTGAAGCCAGAATATTTTCCTCTCAGTTGGACTCAACCCCCCAAACAGGCTCTGACTGTAGGCTGAAACGAGGGCGGTGCGATGTCAACCTAATCAGCTTGTTGTTTCCATCTCTTTGAAAATAAATGGTCCTAATAGCACATAAATGTAGCCTGTTTTTGTTAATAGCTGAACTGGTCATTTCATCCACAGTTCAGAGAATCTGTTCAGTATCTCCGTGATGTGTATCTTGCATTTTTTGCAGTCCATTTGCACAAGGTTGCAGCGGGTTAAGATACCGGGTTGCATGTTTTAAATGTTCCTTGGAACACGAAGCTGAAACGCTGCCAGAAACTTTGTCACCAACTATAACTATCAGATCTTACATTCAAAATACTTCAGTTTTAAATTCAACAGAGTATTAACTTTACATTAAAAATAATGAAAGCAGTTGTTTTCTGATCGGCATAAGTAGCGTTTTAAATTTCTCGAAGCAGACATTTAACTTTGCAAAATCTCTGAAAGTACAAGCACACATAAAAAAAAACACACACATGGCTTTCTGGTTCATTTCTCTCAGACCCTGGTCCACTGTGCATGGTTTTCCTCTCCTCTGAGTCTTTTTAAGCATCCAAATGGCGGTGATACATTGCTTCAGGGGTGTCTCTCGTGAGGGCTCAACACCAACAAACTTCTGTAGGTCGTCTTTTAAAAAATACTTTACTGTACAGTGAAAAAGATCGGATCTAAATTATTTAAAAGCAGATTTTATTTCAGGGTTTTATCTTAGCGTGGCAGTCAACTGCATGTTATAGTGTCTGACTATTCTCCTGTTGCATCATCTTGAGTTATGACCCCAGAAGAAAGCTAAACCTCAGAGGCCTCCAGTGTAACAGTGCCATATATTTCTTTAAGAAAAGCCGTGCTGATTTACATTTATGGACCATGGAAACCTTACTGTATACTGTCCCACTGCATCAGTAAAAAAAGGATTTCTTCTCCTTATGTGCAAAAGTTTGAATCTCTGGATTCATCCCTTTAGGGTCCATATCAGCATATATGACACTTATAAATATGTAAGGTTACCTTAATCTAAAATACAAAGATTTCAATGAAGTCTAAGTGATTTAAATTGATATCTAGTGTACATTTAATCCAGAAACATAATGATTAAACCAGGAAACCGTGAATACTGGAGGATTTCAACTAAACTTTAGTAGTTTTTTTGTTTGTTTTCAAGAAAACCAGAATATAAACCAAGGATGGCTTTCTAGATTTAGTCTAGTTTCAAATATACAATCTGAAATGAATGTTTGATGAGATACTTTCTTTAATGTCATTGATTTGAAATGGACTTGGTGACGGTTAAGCTGCAATGTGGAGAAAGCAAGTAAGACGAGATATTCCTTTATTCATCCCACAAGAGGAAATTCCAAGTACGCTGACATTAACTTGCTGTTGGTGCTAGCTCAGCAAAAGGAGCAAATTTGACTTTGTTTACTGGCAGACAATGTGATTTACGGTTTAATAAATTCAATTCCGACCACCAGATTAGTTGGAAATACAGTTTTTAATTAAAGCTACTATCAGAAACTCTTAATTTGCATTCATTTTGTGGCCGCCGCCCTGTGGATAAAGCAGTATTGGTGTTATTGTCCTGCACATGTTTAGGGAGTGTTTCTTAACAAAAAAAATATCATCCTTATCTCTTATTAATAATATTTTTCTAATGGGTGACTAAAGGGCATATTTACAGTTGCAGCTGTTTACGTGGTCTGACACCTACCCTCTGATAGTTGTTGCAAACATTAAAAATAACCATCTGGAAACAGTCACTTTTATTTTTGATGGTTATGTTTTCATCTCTGGATTCATAAAGAGATATTAAAATCAGTCAAGTCAGTAAAAACGCCTTACAGGAGCTTTAAAGGTTGAGCGTGTCGATTTGATTCTGAAACACTCCCTTGCTCACTCCACTTAAAGTTGAAGCAACAGTGGCTTTTGAGGACAAAAAGCTGTGATAGTCAAGTATGATCCTCTCTTTGTCAGGGTTTTACTTTTACAAACTCTTAAACTCCATTTGTGCACTACTGATAATTTGACAGATAATTAATATTTTTTGTTATTTATCCTGATTAGAATTCTGAGAGACTGAACAGTTGTATAGTTTTACTTTAAAGTTTAATTCAAGTCGTTTACTACTGCAGCTCTCCTATTGAAGGAGACATGTAATGTGAGACCTGCAGGTTTCTCTTGGGTAATTGGTGCAGCTGTGGGTCTTTGAGAGCACAATAGTTTTTGTCTGTGTTTACATCGGGTCTCGATGTGTTTGTAAAAAGCATTGTATAGTTATGCAAAATAAACCTCCTACTATGGTGTTTCATGATGGAAATACGTGTCAACTACATTCTCCGGTTCATCACCTCCGAGGGTCTACAATCATTAGACGGAGCTGCACTCACACAAACTTTTTCTCTTTTCTACAGAAACATACATGACACTAGTTTGTCCATTTTGGGCTACTGTAGAAACTCAGAGCTAACAGACGGTGGACTCTGTGACCTCCTTCTTGTGCAGATATAAAAAGCTCTTTCTTTCTCAGCTAACAAAAACAGAATGTTTTTTTTAAAGTCGGGTGATTATGCACTAATTTATACACACTTGTGGAAATCATATAGCATTTCTACCAAGTTTGTTCTGCTAAATGTTGCTGAATACTGCACACTGTGCCTTTAAAATGAAATTAGTCACTTTGGAACAGCATCAGGGTGCCGCATTATAATGTAATCCTTATTGTACAGATTGAGGTCGTAGTTATTATTATTATTATTGAGGGAAAATTGAAGGTCTGAGTGACTTTGTTCAATTTTATACAGTCTGCCAGGAAATGAACCACTTCAGACTTGGACCACTAGCCACTTTGTGAACTCATAATTCCCTCCTATGTAGCTGCAGTGTTTTTTAACTTTAATATACATTTAATATAGTATGGTCCCTTAAAGGCACTCATTAATCCAAATATTACCCAGGTTATAAAAAGTATCAAGGCAAATGATGCAACCTCGCTTTAAGTAAGCCCACATGGCAAATAGAGGGGGACACTCTTCAGTGTTTAGTTGGGACCACGGTGAAAGACACGGTTCTGTCACGCTGGGAGTGTCTGTGTTGTTTAGTGTCTCCACCACCTGGGGTTGATGGGATATTTACTGAGCGTGTGGGGTGGATGGAGTGAGACTAGAGGGTGGCCAGGCGCCCCGGCTCCTGCGACTAACATGTATGTTCAGGGACTTCTGTATTTTTAACATGTGATGTGTTTTGGGGGAGTGCATGAAAGTGCAAATATTTTCCTAGCTGATTTTCTGTCAGCAGCTTTCTCCAAAACGAGGATCTGATTCACTCTGTCATGGATGAAAAGGTCCTTTCAGAGTGACTGCGGGTTAGCTCTGAGCAACTTTAGTGTCAGATACACTAAAACACAAACACCGAGGACTTTTTAAAACTACACTCTTGTCCTGCTTCAATCCAAAGGCTCACGATGAAGCTTTTTTTTTTCACCCCGGTTCGTTTATAGAAACAGTATTTCAGTCGCATTATAGCCCAATAAATACACTCTAAATGAAAGCCCCTGACCTCTTTTTGTCTGGCATTAATGTGGAAGCTGATTGTTGAACACACACCAAGCCCTGTTCTTTTACTGCCAGCAAAGCTTTCTGCGTTTGACTCCTGTTGCTAGGCAGATCTCAAACATTTAAACACTGATTTATTCATCCACATGAAAAATCTCCTTAAACGATGTGTAGGCTGTAAAAGATGACAATCGCGGAGAAGTGCTTTATAGGCGTGTGAAGTGCGAGAGCCAGGCAGGGAGATGTATTTCACTTTAATTTCCTCCACAGACGGCTGCTGTTGCCCTGGCAAAGCGCAGCCGAGGATGTTATTGCTCCACTTTTTTGGTCTGATACTGTATGTGATAAGAAAAATAGTGAGAGTCCTTTGGCAGTGAGGGTACAGAGTGCGGGATTTATGAGCTGCTGAAAGTGGCACTTTAACAGATATTTTAACTTGTAACTTTATACCTTTAGAAAAAAACTTCTTACACTGAAAAAAACAAACTTCAAATCCACTAATCAAAAAAAGAGAAGGTTAACTTTACGAGAAGAATATTAATCTACCTGGAGTTAAAGTCAGAGAAGTTCGGTCTCCACACTGAGCTTTTTTTCTCTCCACACAGAGGATACTCTTGAGATAAGTTAGCAGGCTGCTGATGTTTGGGGTTTCTGTGTGATTTGACAGTTAATGACGCCTTCAGAGGCCGACATTCCTCCGTTAAAGGGGAATATGAGGGGTCGTGGCCTTGTTCCTCCACCATGGATGATTGAACCTTTGATTTACACAGACTTATCCTGTCAAAATAGAGAATTACAGTCTGGAGTTTTTTTTGAGTAATCCTTTTAATTTTTTCAAGAAAGATGGAAATCAGTCATCAGAGTCGAGTCCCATTTCAAGGGTATCAGCTTCTTTTCACCTTATTGATTCTGGTCCTTACAGATTCTTGATGTTCATACCATTATTCTGGGGGAAGAAACAACTTACATCTATAGAATAAATATTTGTCAGTACATTTACATGCACAGTTAAATCGAGCAACGGTTTACATGCACTCAGCAATAATGAAACTATGCTCCTCTTCTACAGTAGGTCCCCTTTTGTTTTCATGAGGTCCTTTCCCGGTTTACGTATTAGGTATCAAAACAGTCAGCAAAATGCATTTGAGGCTAATGAGGTGTACATGAATTTTTTTCTGCCCTGACTTCGTCTGTCAAGGTTTTGTTTACTACCTGGTTTCCTAGCAACGTATCCACGCTATTCAACCACCAGCTCAGAGCCCGGAGTGCGAAAACCGGGGCGTGCACAGACACTTACGCTGTGTTCCAGTTGTACTCAGAAGTTGAAATTTCCGAGCTCTGAGTCGGGATTTCATCTGGAACGTCCCCCTGAAGTCCGATTTCCAACTAGAAAAGTCAGATGATCCTCACCGACCCCGACCTGACGACAACGTTACAATCCAAGATGGCAGCGCAGTGCATCAACAGTGAAGAGTAACAGTAAAAGCTCTCATAATTTAATATTTATTTGCACTTCTGTTTTGTTTTTTGTGAAATTAAATAAGTGGTATATGTTCTGCTGCCCAACGTCTAACTGTGAACACAGTGCTACGGTGTTTGTAAGAGTAAAATACTGTGTGATGTGTTGTTTATAACTGGTTTAGCTAACAACAGCTGACAAAGGCTAACAACGGCTAACAGTAGGCATCCATCTTAGTTTTCCGGGGGTGATGTCATTCCCTGGTCCCTCGTCCGACTTCTGAGATAACTGGAACGCAGCATTAGGCCACAGATATTTTAGTCCGACTATCGGAAGTTCCCTTTAATGCGATTAACTCTTGTCACTTTTTGTACAAATAGGCTAGCTTAAACATTTAGCTTTGTCCTAACTAGCGCAATACATTTCCTCAAAAGTAAACCGAACGAGCCCTCCTGGAATAATGGCTGCATTCATACTTGGAACTTAAATTTGTTCCCAAGCAGCAAGAAACAAACAATACATTGTGTTTCCTCCTGAGAAACTTTTTACAAGTGTTGGTAACCAATTCTGCTAAGCTAACCTGGAAACCTGTTATTTTTTTTCTCATTAGAAAAGAGGTGTTTATATCACATCTGCTGCTGTTACCTCCAGCAACAGAGATACTAGTTGTTTACCGGGGCACCCATGTCGACTATTACCCAGGGACACTGAATGCAGCAATTAACGCCCTGGGGAGTGCTGTTGTCAGCGTTATGAGGTGATTGACATGAGGCAGACCATGCCTATAACAGGTGGGAGTAAAAGGTCAGGAGGGAGCAGGTTTCTGGAAGGGGCTATTATCAAACTTGGAGACTTAGAGAGGAAATTTAATTTCCTCACCGGCCACTGTTAAACTTGTGTTGGCTACTTGAACAGTAGCCAGACACCAACAGACTTTCACAGCATAGTTGCAGTGATAGAGCTCCACAACTGTGTGGGTTTTGCTGCAGCAACCCTCTTGTGAAAAATTAGTTTATAGGTTTTTTACAAATATGTTTCCCTAAAGTGACTAGCTACTGGTTAATATAGTGTGTCCCAGGTCAGAGCAGCTTAAAAATGAAGTATTGGCCTTCACAGCTCTCCAGAGACCTGTATGCCTCTTTTTGTCCAGTATGCAAGCTGCGGTCCTGCCCTGCGTGTCTAGACAGGGGAAAAGGGAGAAATATCCGCCAGCATGTACCGTAAAAGGACTCTTTCTGAGCGGAGGGAGTTTAATTACTTTTTCCTTCCCGATAACCTCTTATTAAATCTGACATTTACCTTCGCTTGCCAAAAATTAAAACAGAAGACCTACAGTAAATACTCAAATTTGTTGGAAAACAAAACAATTGTGGGCACATTTTGATTAATGCATTAGACATTTGTCGACATGCCGCAGCGAGTCTGGTCACCAAACAGGACTAAGCTCACTTGTTTGGAATGGGAGACAGCGAATGTGTCATCTAAACATGGTGACTTGTAACACAGCATAAAGAACCCAGTTTAAAATCTGACGTGTTTCTCGTCCTGAAAAAGTACCTGATGTTACTATTTAAGTCAATTAAACATTTCCAAGAGCTAAAGGTCAATGCCGCTCTTTTTTCCCCCCTCAGTTTATGAGCTAAGAATAAACATCTGCAAAGCAAAGCAGTCACTTATTACAGTTAAAGGTGCAGTATCTGTTCATGATCGAGGGACTCATAAAAACAGTCATAGATACACCGAAAAAGGTTAGGCGGGGTTCTGCAAACACACCAACAAACAGTTACCTGGTGTTTATCGAAATATAATCCCAACAGGGTGAGACTAGACCCAGACATAGAGGGGATTTCTTGGTTTTCTTCACTTTGGTTGATGTCTCCTAACATCGTCTCTAATCTCTTTTCTCTGCTGATGATATTAAAGATATCCTTCATCCAATACAGTCATTTTTTGCCACATGATCTACAGGGTGAGATCATAAACTTCATGAATATGCTGTGATTAGATTTTCTCACTTTCCACAGATTAATTTATCAATCTGATAAAGATCCTTTTTACACATAGTAAATACTTAAGTGGGTAAGGATGCTTAAAATTGTGGGAGAAAAGGCAAGGTAACATATTTAAAAAAATTATAATGATCTCAAAATTCAGATAAAGCTAGGAATTGTGGCCCACTACCTCATAATTTTGACTTTTTAATCTGAAGATTATGATTCATCTCAAAATTATGATTGACTTTCTCATATTCATGATGCACTACTTTACTTTTTATCCCGAAAGTAATACTGACCACACCATAAATTTGACAACTAATAAAATAATTGTGCCTTAAATCTTTAAATTATGACTTACTATCTCATAAGTTTAAACAATCTAATAATGTTGGCTTTATTTTTCCATGATTGGGACTTACTGTCGCTCAAACTTGACATTTATCTTATAATTTTTACCTTTTAATCTCACAGTTATGACTAACTCACTCATAATTTTGATTTACCTCATATTTAAACCTTTAATTTAATCATTTTGATTCTCTTTATTGTATAGACCTCTCATACTTTTGAATTAATTACTACTCACAATCCTGTTAATTGTACTTATTCAAATAATTGTGACTTTTTATCTAATAAGGATGATTAACTGTTTCATAAATTTTGACTTATCTGGTGACAATTCTGGTCACAACAACTTTTTACTACTTTTAAATCTCAAAATTATAACCAACTTTCTACTTATTTGGTCGTAGATTTTGACTTTTAATGTTAATTATGACATACGGTCTCATAATCTAGACCTTTCTCATAATGTGAATATTCTATCACATAACAATGACTTTATACATCAGAAGTGTGACTTATTGGGTAGCTCTGGCTCAGTGGAGTTAGTTGTCTTCCAGTTGGAAGGTCAGGGGTTTGAACGATCCTAGGGCCAAAGAATCTTTGGGCAAGACACCCTTACTGGCTGCCATTTACTATATATTTTTCACTTCATATCTTTGATCAACTTTCCCACTACATGACTTTCTTTCTTTTAATATTTTCATTTTCTATCCTGTACTTATGACTTAATATCTAGTTTTCTTTTCTTTTTTTAAACTAAGGGCAGCGTCTCTTGTTTTATTTTTTTCCATTTACCGGCAGAGATTCCTATTGGGAGGTTTGGACACAACCATTTCAGTTTTTTAAAGTGGTGAAATGACGATATCAGCCAATTAATCAGAAGGAGAGGACTGAAGTGAAATGTGAAAGTATTACTTGTTCATACTGTCTGACTGTGCTCACTGTGTGGCCCGGTGTTATTAAAGGACCACAAAAGGAAACTGAGAAAGAGAAGCACAAATCATCGCTGGTACAGCAAATTAGCTCCCAACTAAGGTGATCTGAATGTGTCAGTGTTTCTCCCTCCATGTCAGTATTGTACTCAGCCAACCCAGACAGATCAACTTTCACTCATTACAGCATTTTTAGCTGACTGACAGCACTGAGCAGACCTTGTCCTGCTTCCCCTCTCCATCCCACCGGCTCCTGAGCATCTCCTGTCCCCAGACCTCGCGGCAGTGTAAAACCGCCGGCTCGGGCCGGCGTGCTGTGACTGGCAGCGGAGCAAAAATAAACAGGCCTGGATTATGATAATTGGTTGGTCAGCTCCAGCTCGAGTGCAGCAGCGAAGACATGCTCAATTAATCAACTGTTCTGCTGAAACCTTTTATAGAGAGCACAACAATAACCTTTAAACAGATGGGAATCATTTTCCTTAATTAAAAACAGAAATAAATACGGCCTTATGACAACAAAACCACTCAGGGTGTTACACACACTCCTGCGAGATTTTTCGAGCTGAGCCGGGGGTAATCAAGCCAATTGCAGAGAGTCTTTCTTACGACCTTGTGCATTTTATCTTAATTGAACTCTAAATCAAATTAAGCTACCTTTAAAAAGTAATGAGACATACAGCAGACCTCGTAGAATAGCATTTTCTACACAGAGTCTGTTTAGGTTGATTTTATCAACAGTTTAAATGTAACATCTAACAGCACTTTTTATCATTTACTTTAAGTATTATCTGAACATTTATCCCTAGCATTAGTTTATGAGCTTAAATCATGTTTAAATAGACAAGAATTAAAAGTGAAATGCTGTTTTTAAGGTTTTGATTTACTACATTGAAGTACATTTGCATTAACTTTAAGACAACTTATTACAATCGGTGCTTTAACTTGGTGCTTTTGTGCTTGTGCATGCAAACATCATATCTAAGGAACTAGGATAAGACCTTATCATGGTTTTTTTGGTAAACTCAGACATAAACAGGACACTGTGGCATACACCTTACCCTGCAACAAGAGTATCTCACCTCAGGAGTGTTGAGGAAACTGACTTTATATCTGATTAACTCTAAAAACACTTGCTGGGTGATTTTTACCCGACCAAACATGTTTACGTGATTTTATTTATGATGCGTTTGTCTGAGTATCATGGGTCAGAATTGCCTTTGACATCTTTGAAGGCATGTTTATTTCCCTGATCCAAAACCTGCTTTTTCCTACAAAAGGGTAAAGTAGGTTTGGGTGGATTTGATAGCTGCATGTAGGCAAATAAGGTCAGTAAGAGTGGTCCTGGAATTTGCATGCTGTCTTTATTTAGGGCAGTGGTTATGAATAAATATCAAAAAGTAGTGATTTTCAAGGAAATTTATATGGTGATAAGAAATATTTTAGTCAGCTGGTCATTTTTACTCACTCAGAATCTGCCATATTTTGGTTTTCTCTCCTGCAGCTGTTATTGTGCCAAGGAGCCTGAGTCTTCACCAGGGAAGACTCACAGGCCCCAGGAATGGGTGGAAAAGAAACTAAGTTTATAGTGTCTATTTTATTTTATATTTTTTAGGAATTATTTGTTCATGAATGCCTAATTTCAGTTATTTTGTTGCATTTTTATATGGTCCCCTCGTGGTACTTTTTTTCCCCTCCCTTTGGACATTGCACAGTTAAAAATAGAAGAAAACTACTTTAATCTTTCATATTTTGTCCTATTTTTATATAACAAGGACTTTTTCTTGGGTACATTATTTCAGGTAAAAATCACCCGGCAATAGTGATGATGTTACTAATTTTAGCGATAGTGTTCTAGGGGTACGAAAATAACAAATTCAGATAGGATAAGTTTGCAATGCTAACCTAAAATGTGTAAATTTAAGGTGAGTTTAGAATGATATAACTACAATGTGACGGTAGAGATGAACCAGCATTATACACACAAAACCAGGAAACTGATTTTGAGTACACTCAGAGTTGCATCATCATGAGAATTCTCTCAGCACTGAGGAAGGTTGCTATGTGGTAGAAAGACAATACTTAATGACAAAATGAGGCTCATACAGCATTTTTACCTGTTTGTTGATGCTACAAAGCCTTTAATCTGCCTCTCAGGGTGGAGCTCTTGGCCTTCAACTGTACCGTACATACCTGCACTTCCAAACAATGACGGGACTAAGTCCTAAAGCAGCAAAAAGCTCAAGGGCAGGATTAGCAATCTAAACTAATTCGCATTTACTCATCACAAGAAGTATTTGATGGATCTTCACTGAATGAGGAAGGTTTATAAAGAAGCATTTCCCTATTGGCTCTAATAGATGAGCTGCCATTAGTTCTACTACAGAGATTCTTGTACTCCACGAGGATTAATCCCTAACACGTGATGACCCGACTTTTCATCTGCCTCCATTGATCATCCGGTCAGAATTTCCATTCATGGATTTGTTGCATAAGACCAATGTAAATTTCCAGTAGCCTGGGCTGTCAGTCATGTACATGTGCAAAATAAACAATTTCACTTCAAGTCAAGTGTTTTCACACTCAAGCACGGTGACCATAGTGAGCGTTACTAGCCAAACAAAAGCATGTTAGCATCGTCAATGAGGCGCTTTACGCTCATTGATAGGCATTCAGTTAAAGGCAGGGGTGTGTTCATACTGTTAGCATGACTGCAGAGTCTTAAAAGGGTAATTCAAGTCCTTTTTAAGAGTTACTGGCTAAACCCACAGGATCCAGACCGGCAGGTGGATCAGATCCGCAAGCATACAGCACCCAACAGATCCGATCCGCTGCCCCCATCTGAGGAGAAGCGCTCACAAGATTACCGATATGTCTTGCAAGACTGGACGAAATCTCACGAGCTCTCGCGTGTTTCCCCGAGAGTCATAGAATGAGATCCGCCGATCAGTGTATATAAACGGTGGTGTTTATAAATACCCACAAACCAAAGTAAACAACAGTTCAATGTATTGACTTTATTTTATTTAGAAAATTAACAGGATATTTTACTCTGTAACTGCATAAAACTTCCACTGCTGCTCATGCTGCACTGCACTGAATTAATGGGTCGTGTTCCGGCATCAGGCAAAAATAGAAGCCTGTGGGAAACAGCTGGTAGAAACAAGTCTCTAAGAGCTATGCTAGATGATGCCAATCTTACCATGTAAACTAGCTAATTTAAAAAGACCCTAACCTAAGCTCTCATACCTAGCATCCTTTTTTTAGCAGCAGTTTCTCAGTGAAGAAGCCGAGCTGACTAACTACTAAAATGTCCTTTAAAATCGAGTTAACTTTTGTTCCAGTCAGCAAAGTCAACGATGAGCTTTTCTGCTTTCTTTCTTCCTACTACTGTCTCTTTAAATTTGCAGTCCTGTTACCTGAGCTCAACTTGAGTGAACTTTGATTAGTGTGGGGTATGACAGACTGGTCACCACAGTGTCACACTCTCTGCAGACTCGCTGAAGAGTTCTCGGGCTCATGTTGATAGCTGTCTGAGTGTCATATTTCAGCCTCTCTCTGCTTCTTTTCCCTGTTCTTCCCCCCTCTCTCTCTCTCTCTCTCTTTCTCAATCAGCCTCTCTCCCTCCTGTGGTCCAATAAAAAAAGAAAAAAGCCACTGTGTCACTGAAACCACACTCAGCCAGACTGACTCGTTTGAAAGAGCCTCTCTCACTGAGTCTATTTCTCTTCGGAGTGACCTGGGCTGCTGGCGCTGGGCTAGTTTAGAGCGGACTTTGGGAGGAGACAGACTGTAATCTCACCCTTAATCCATTTTAATCAACAATAACACACTAGCTCCAGTCCCAGGGCGAGGCCTCCGAGCCGTTTCTGAGCCCCAGATTTACATCTCAGTGAGGCAAGGGTGAAATATGGCTTTGATTTATTCAGGTTTTATTTGGCACAAATTGTCTGAGTTACAGATCACATGGCTCGGCCCTTTTTCCCCAGGCGTTAATAGAAAGTGCTTCTGAGCTGTGCTTAATTGCAAAAGAAAGTTGATGTTACAGGAGCAAGTCTGCAGGTCTCTACAGTTTATGTTTTTTCAACTTTTTCTAAAATAACAGAAGAAATAAATTACTCTGGAGAACTTTAACGGGCCGAGACTCCAGACTTCAGTGAACAGGTATTAGGGAATTCAGGGGAAAAGGCTGAGCTGAGGTTTCAGGGAAACCTGAGGTTGTCGTTGGAAGATTAATGCAGAATTAACTCTGTCAACTTGGTGAAATTGCCAATATTAATTAGTTAAACAAATTTAAACCCAATGAACGTCCATGAACTTGACACCGAATAATTGTTTTGCTTTTATATCATTTTACTGCAATTCAGTGAATCGATTAATCTTGATTTAATGTCAGATTACATCAAGATAATGAGTTTTTAAATATGTGGAACAGTCTGTAGCTGATGAGGGAATAGGAGGTGCATTTACTCCTGTCTTTACTTCATATTTCAATTGGTTGATAATTGATAATTATAACCTTTACATGCAAAAAAGCCAGTTAATAACATGCAAGATTTTAGCAGTCAGTGCACTTCACATATCTGCAAAATACACAGGAGTAGGTGAGTCTTAGACAATGTGTTGAAACACAAAAACAGGTAAATTCTGTTACATTAGAAATGTAAATTACTGTGAAATTTGTGATTAAAAAACACTTTTTATTTTGGTTTTGTCATCCCAAAAGTGAGTTTAGGCCTTTACACCAGTGTAAAGACCAGCCATCAATGTTAGTGGGCATTGACGGCTGGTATATGATGAAGTTTTAGCTTTAATTGCTCCCCAAAAGGTCTAAACTACTATAAATGTAAATGTAAAATACAGAAAGAGATATGATCTAGTGTGTAACCACCTATTATCTGAGAGATGGCGCTCGATGAAGAGAAAGAAACCACTCCAGTGAGGTGAGGTGACGCAGATCAACTTTTTAGTGTCACTTTTTTGACGCTTTTGTCTTAATTGGGTTATGAACATGTGATTAATGAAAAAGTGGTTTAATATTAAATAAAAAAAAAACAAGTAAAGATCTGGTTCGACTGAAAAGACTCTACATCAGCGCTGTAATGGAGTTTTGCCATCACCACGTCTTTGTACTTACTCAGCGCACACCCAAGGGAAGTAATATTGGTGTCCCAGTGATTACTCATGCTATTATATTGTTGCAGAACGAGAGGCACATCTTTTTACAGACAACAGGAACTCTACATACAGAGACGCTCAAACATGAACATACATATTGTGGCCAATACTGATACCCCCATTTTACCTAACCTTTACCTCAACGCTCATCTCTACCACACTTCTATTTACAGAAGCTATCACAGGTTGAGCTCCAGCACAGTATGGGAGGGTGGAGATAACAGATGGTACTAGAAAGAGCTACACAGCTGCAGTGAAACTGGATGTTGCTGAACGTGATGAAAGTCTTCAGGCAGGAACTCAGTTTAGACCTTCTTATTAGGAGATCCCCAAAACAAACAACATATTTTATACTGGTGCGACTTATAATCTGTTTGTACAATAGATAACCTACAGGAAAAACTCGCATGTATGCAAATCTTGCGTATTTACTTTTCATTCGTGCTTTCACTGTGTGCGGTTGTTTCTAATTTTCTTTGTCTTGTTCATATTGGTCTGACGAAGCTTGAGATAGTGACTCGTCATTCTATAATAATAATAATAACAATCCATCAGATTTCACATAGCGCTTTATCAGAGACCCTCAAAGCGCTTTACATTGGATACATCATTCATTCGCTCACACAAGCACACCTTGGTGGTAAACTACCTGGGGCAGACTGACCAAAACATGGCTGCCAGTTTGCGCCTACAGCCTCTCCAACCATCACTACACAACACTCACAATCATACACCAGTGGAGGACCCACACTGGGAGCAATGTGGGTGAAGTGTCTTGCCCAAGGACACAACGGAAAAATCAAGATAGGGGGGGAATCGAACCCTATCTGGATGACGCTCTACCTCCAGAGCTACTGCTGCTCTAAGTAGTGCAATTAGGAAAAAAAACTGCAGGACTAAAGAAAAACATGAAAATATATAGATGTATGTCAAAGATACTTAAATATAGCTTTCCATATGTCCAAAAAACAGAATAACTCTCGTTTTACGCTCTGTAAAGAGGAGTAATTTTCCCCTTCAGTTGCGATCATGTCGTCGACACAAACGTCTACAGATCAGCGCCAAAGCGAAGGCTGTGAAAGTTCTCACCTGAATCCACTATGATGACCCTGCTGTATTTTTTCTAACCAGACACAGCAGGACTCTGTCAACAGTACACAGAGTTAATTACACTCACTGAAGTTGTATCCTTCTCCATTACACCTCTATTACTGGTCCCGTCGTACTCCGACAAGCACCGTCTTTGTTTGGCGAGTCTCCTCCGAGTGACAGGATGTGTTAATATCACTTGGCTGATTGGAAGCGATAAGTCTCGCACACTTCTTGTGCATTCACTCCCAGTGTCCAGCAGAACGCTCTGCCTGCATCCAAATCTCTCGGCTGACTCTGAATCGGCCTCTTTGTCCCGTCCCCGCAGATCCAAATCATCAAGGCCAAAGCTGTGCCCTTGTGCGCTGTCGCCATGGGAACAGGGGACGGCGGTTGCCAGCAGGTTGGCTGTTTATTTTGGCCGGGAATCAAAGCACGAGTGGAGGTGGGGATGCATGGGGTAGAATGGGAGTTGATGTGGCGTGACGTGGGATGGTAGAGGTGATACAGCGTCTTAAAGTACGTGTGGTGCCTCTAAACAGGAAGCCACAGTACACTGGTCCTCCCTGAGGGAAGGGGTCAGGTTTTCCTGACCACCTCTGCCCTGTCATCAACTTGGCATGCTCCTCCTGATCCTGACAAGATCTGCATGTGTCACGAGCGACAACATGACCCCACCCCGTGCAAACCTCTCCGTACCCGCTCACTCAGTTTGTTTGCTTTACGGATGACTCCCTGAAAACAGATATGACGGGCTCTAAATGCGACAATATCAGCAAGTCCCGAAAATCAGTGAGGCTACTGTTCACCTCCCGTCGGCGTAACAGATTGTGTTACATGATGAAGTTATGCTTCTGCTGCAGGTGACAGGTATACTTTTGTTATCATAGAGAAGGCCAATCACTGTTGGAGCAGCTTAAAGCATACAAAGGATCATATGCCATAAAACCGCACTGTTCCTTTAATTCCCATCAGGGTAACCGAATGACTTTTTTCACGTGCCCATTCATCAGGTTTAGAATTTGAATTTCTATTTATCGTCTCCTCTGTTATATAAATAAAGTTATCTCGGTTTGTAATTTTTGTGGGCGCAAAATTCATACTCCATGGACAAGGCCATTTATCACTGTCAGAGCCAAGACTCACTTAAAGCCCCTTCACCTCAAAAAAAGTGCTGTTTTGACAGGCGTTCTGGAGGCAGACACAGCAGAGGCCGGGACAGGCTCTGTAGGGGGTCTTCTGGCTTACAAGGTTTCTGACGTCCCCGGGCCCTCTCACATTCAGGTGTAAAACCCCTGGAGCAGCACAGCCAGGCTAACATTGCTTGGGACTTGCAGCGCCACAGTGTCTGCTGCAGCCCCCGAGTCTCCCCGCCCGCTACCAAAATAGAAGCAACCTCACACCAAGACATGGCTTCACATCTAGCATATAAAAATCTGAATATTCAAAGGATTTGCAACTCATCCATCATATTTCAGAGCTGAAACCAACATGAGATGGCTGCTTTGCAGTCGTATTACCCATGATTTTAGTGTTTTTCTATTTGGATGTTGGGTGGCAAATTAAACACACTGGGCAAACTCATTACACAATCCCTGTGGTCAGTGTGTCATGTACAACAGCACCTTTAAAAAAAAAAGTTTGAACACTGCGTGAAAGGCTGATGAAACTCTCTATATAATCAGAAATAGTGCAAACAAAAGGAATTGAATGTTAAAATGAAAACAAAAAATAGTAATAATGCTAATCTTGTATCTAATGCCAAAAAAAGTTGTGACATGTTAAAAGACACCCTAGAGAAACATCTACCAAACATTAATTCATGATTTACAGTAGGTTAGTTACAGGACTTGGTATGAAGTGTCTCTCCAGAGAGGCTGAGTTTATGAGTTAAAGACAGGAAGTGGTTCAGGACTCTGCGAGAGACAAATAGTTCCTCGGTGTAAGTTCATAATACCATCAAAAGATTGAAGAAATCTGTGACCCAAAAATGATCTTAATACTACAGAGTTGTTATTTTCAGGTTCTCAGATGGCATTTCATTAAAAAACAAAAACAGACATGACTCTGTAGTGGAAATCACTGCATGGGCTCAAAATCATGTCAAAAATCTGTAAATACAGTTTGTAGGAACATCCTGAAAAGAACATGGTCCAGATTTACTGGTTACGTCTTTGGGTCTGAGACCCTTTAAGACTGAGCTAAAGTGAGAAACTGTCCCATGGTCTGACCTTTTAAAATTGGCCTTTATTTTGGAAACCATGGATGGTGTGTCCTCTGCTCTAAAGAGACCACCTGGTTTGCCACTTAGGTACGGCTCGAAAGCCAACATCTCGTTTTCTGCTCATTTTACAGCATCATGGCTCTGTAGAAGAGTTGAGTCTTGTCATCTTTTAAAAGTATTGGGAAAATCATGCCATTAGAATTACGTCAAAGGAGACCCCAAACTGTTGAGCAGCTAAAATCCTATATTACCGTATTTTTCGGACTATAAGGCGCACTTACAATCCTTAAATTTTCTCCAAAATTCTAAGTGTGTCTCATAATCTAGTGCGCCTTATGTATGATTGCTTGTTGTGTTTACTGACTGATTTTATGTGGTACAAAAAAAATGTGTATGAAAAGTACGACTTCTGTAAGCAACAAAGCCGCTCCGCTCATGGATATTCTGAGAATTACGGTAACTGTTGTCTGAGCTTTCGTGAAAGCTGGAATCACCACTGAACAGCCAAGTACCGGTACCGGCAACAAGACTGACTTAGATAATGATGAGAGGGATCTGGGCATGCTTGGTGCCGAAATCGCACAGCTGTTTAAGACAATGAAGATAATGAATTTGTGGAAGAGGAATGAATTAATAAGTGAGCATATTTTTCTGTACTGGTATTTGTTGTTACAACTGAGTTAAATAGTTTGATTTACTGGATTGTTTTGCTTAATGCCCCATACAATCTGGTACGCCTCATGTGTGAACATAGACATGTTAATTCATAGTGCGCCGTATAATCCGATGCGCTTATGGCCTGAAAAAAAATAGTAAATTAGGTGAAAATGGGACAAGAACTAACTTCTAAGACTCTGGAAACTTGTCTTCTTGGTCTAAGAGAGATTATCAGAGTAGTGTTAAAAAGGGGCTGATGCAGCACATTAAATGTCATATGCTGTTTTGTCAACATCTTTTAAAAAACTGAAGCGCAGGTGGGGCGCTTCCAGGCCTGATATCCCAGATGATGAACAGACGATTCCCCGTGCGACTCACCTCTGTTTCCTGTTCAGCAGCATGGCGGATATCAAAACCACACATGTTCCTTCAGTGCTCCAGATTCCCTGTCTGAGAATGACCCCCTGAGGGTCAAACTTTGGCTTCTTCCTCCTCTTCCTGCTATTTGCGGGTCAAAGGCGACGGCCTGCTGGCGAGCCGTTTCCCACCACAGCTCTACGGGAGTCGCACTAAAAACCTCCGCGAGACAGCAGCGGTGACTTTTGACTGTTAGAAGACACCAAAGCAGATAAAATCTTGTGAGTGTGACTTAATGCAAAGCTTTTGTTTGAACAAGAAGAAGAAGAAGAGATTGAGGAAGATCATTTCTAACCCCAGACAGAGAAACCAGATGGAGGGGAATCGGTCTCATCGGGGCCTCATGCGTAGTTATGGCACGCAAAAGAGAGAGAGAATACAGCGCATGATTGTCGTCTTGGCGATATAAGATATGTAAGAGAACAACACCCTTCCTCAAATGGCTTGAATAGATTGTTTGACAGACGAAATCAATCGAAAATCAAGCCTCCCTTCAGAATATTTTGAATTTGACTGGATCTCTGAGCATTTTTCTTCGGCCTCATTAGTGTCAGGACCGATTTCCCCTCCGATATTGAGCGCTGGTCTCCTTGAGGGACCCCTGTACCATGGAAGCGGATCTGTCGAGTGGAGTGATGATGATGGGAGCCTTTTGACACATGTGTACTTTTACAGTGAGCGGCCATGCATAATGCATGCGGCTTTAACCAAACATCCAGCGCCCCGACTCTTCTGGGGTGTTATCTGGTGTGTGACTCTGGCTCTCTTCCTGAGTGGGATGGTGTATCAAATTCCTGGAGGCCCTGCTTCCTCCAGTGTACACATGTAAACACTCACTGGCTGCAAAGCATGAGCACACAAACAGACATGCAGAATTACGCACCATATGTCGTATTGCAACACCCACCGGACTTGTGCGTGTTAACTTGTTCTTTTTGTACCCAAAATTTGATTGCAAGACATCAGTTTTGGTAAGCCAAGAAATCAGCTGGTTTTGAGATTGCATTTTCTATCAAAGCGGACAAAACTTAAGCTCCGCTACATGGAAAAGATGTCCACAAATAGATTAGGGATTTAGAGTCTGACAAGGTTCTTTCTTCTGGATAACACACAGCCATGTCTGGCCTCTCCCCAGAGCCCCTGAGGAGGCTGCGTGGGCTAACTCCAAGACATCTGGCGTGACCGAGTGTGTCTGCACAGTCAGGTCAGGTTTGCAGACACAAAAACAGAGATAATAGCTTTAACCATCAGAGCCAGTGTTTAACCGTGCTGTTTTGTTGTCATTTCCCATGAAAAGATTCAGCGCCTAGTGCATCCACGAGCGGACAGAACACAGATGTTATGCAATAACCGAAGCAGCTGGGGGGCATTTGATTCTTACAATAACAAGCACGGCTGTTTAATGATGCTTACCGAGCTCAAAGTTTGCTTTGCATTTCATATTCAGACAGCATGCCAGGGAATGTGTGTATGTGAGTGTGAGTGGGTGAGTTTTGGAACGACCTTGGGATTTTTCATCCAACTATGGACTAAATGCATTAACATACCATCTCTACCACTGTCTTATAAATGACGAGGATTACAGCGGAGGCGGAATAAAGAATGTTATTGACGCAGCCGTGACAGCTCGATACAAGTTCACACACAAATATCTCTGAGAGTTCAAATCAACTTTCGTTTTATTAAAGCCACTTTAAACCAAAATCAACATCCAGCTTTCAACTAAACTTTACACACCTAACACTTAGCATGTAAAACTATTTAAAATGAGTTTAAGTCCAATTTTATACTTCTGTCATTGAAGTTTCTGGTCTTTTTGCAGCTTGATTTAAATCATACAAAAGTTAAACCATAAACTTATCGTAAAAAAATAATAAAAATGAGCACACTCCAAGAGTCACATTTTCATCTTTCATTTCTCTTAATTATTGGCAAGTTCATCTGTTAATTTCTAACCTTTAATCTCATTGATCATGAACCAATTTTTGGTTACAGTGCTTAGCATAAATGAGTACACCCCTTCAGAGTTGTCAGAAAACCTTTAGTTTCCTTTCAAAATCAACATTTTCTATGTCCGACTACACAACTAAATACTCCTCCAAATGTAGAACATTGATTTCAAACAAGTTTCACACAAAAAAGATGCAAAAATGAGTACACCCCAATCAAAGTTCTTTGAGCAAAGCTACATTTTAGCTACCATATCACCCTTATTTTCATCTTATGGTAAATAAAATGTTATGTTAATGTCAAAACTTTGGAGATTGTACTTTAGCTCATTTAGATATTGAGTAATACATTACTTTTAATAGGGGGTGTACTGGGTAATGCTGGGCTCTGTATGTTAAAAGCATTTGCTTTAAGTCTGTGGTCCTCTACTTTTCATACTTTTTGATTTAAAACTGGTCAGTAAGAGGCTCTACCATCACTGTTAACCTCTGTTAGAGTGAAATCTATCATTGAAGTGTTGATGACACGGGTTCGAGGGGTACAGCTGTCTTAAACGCAGTATGAGTAGCTTACGGTCTGTCATCAGGGCCTCTTATAAGACCAGGCCGGCCTTAAGCAATCCTTTTTTAACAAGGACCGCAGGAGTTTTCTAAGCTTCAGCTGAAAGAGAATCATACCCAAGGTGCCTTCCAGGACATATTCGCCCGGCTTTTTACGCTCTATGTGCATTATACAACCGCTCTGTGGTTTCAGCCAACTGTGGGCCTTGCCTGAAAACGGACCCCTGACTGTGAGGGGCCGACTTATATCTGTGTGTTTATATCTGTCAGAAAATGGCCAGACTCAGCGCTGCAAACGAGGCTCCTCTGCGGATGTAAAAGTTTTGATACCTCTCTGATGCGTGGAAGTACTCTCCTGATAGGGTCGAGGATGGGGGGTGTTACGGGGTCTGAGGATTCTGTTAGTGTAGCTGCGGTGTCAAAAATGAGCCTTTCGGCATATGAAATTTCTCTAGCTTAATGATCTTTAAAACAGTGTTAAAACCACAATATACATAGCAGGGATGTGTAAATGGGTCCAGAGGGCAGCTGTTTGAGTCCTATTAGAGGATGTAGCTGTCTTTCTATTGGTCCTTGGTCTTTTAAGAGTAAAATGGAAATCATGAGCAAAAACCATAAATACCAAAATCATTTAACAATTGTGCTGTAAATATTTCTGTTTCTACTTTAACATGGGCGTGTATATAGCCTCTAGTGGACACTCAAGGTACTGCAGATTTTAGAATGTCTGCATTAGCTTCATGTTGCTTGTTTTTTTTACACGTTTCAAACTGTTAAAGGAAAGGAAAAAGCATTGGTGCTACTGCAGATGCCGACAGACTACCGGTAAACACAATGTTTGCAGGACATGTAAAACTAGGAAAAAGTGACATAGTCCAGGACCCGAGGTCAACAGTTTAGCGGGGCTACAACACGCAGCAGGTCCCGTTTGACAAAAATAAAATAAACACGTTATAGACACTTGGCTTACTTTGTTAAAGCGGTTTATCAGTCCAGCAGAAAGCTAACAGGATCCCGAAGCGTTTATAACCCTGCTTTTTAGCTCTTGTCCGGTCTACCTCCTTTTTAAGCACCCATTATTGTGCCAGAGTCTCCGGTATTTACTTCGTTTTCTTGCTTTTGTTGACAGTCGTGGTCAAAGGAAGATTCAGACAATTTTCCAAACGTTCTTGTTGGTTTCTACTGTCCGATATTGTAGCACACTAATTTTGTTTGGGCTCGTGAACGACACATGGGGAGCAGCGTCCGCCTCACAACCAATCAGGTTGACAGAATGGCTTTGTTACAGTCAGAAATAGTGGGCCACTCAAAAATGTTGACAACACTGATATAACAATAGCTATTGACTGATATTAAAAGCTTTTTTTATATACACCACAAAAAAAGATGCTTCTTTAATAGAATCCTGCCTACCCCACCTTTAAGACTAAAACTGCTCACCATACCAAGGCTGAGCCCCCTTGTGGCAAAATCCTAGAATTTGTCCAAAACCAGATATTACAGCCCCTCTTGACAAATCTACACAGCTGCATGAGGAAAACAGATATGGTCGGGCATGTCTACTTTGGCACAAATTGGAGGAAAGTGCTCGTGCTCGGTGTATGATTTAACAAGCCTAACATCGACTTCATCCAGTGTTGTGTAACACAGTAAGTGTGGCGGTCTGTTAGTGTATAAAGTACCAGAGCTGGGTCAGCTTCCCGTCTCATTTACAGTTAGCTGTGTGAGAATACACAGAGCGCGGGCTCGGGCCTACAGCTGATTATTTCCACGGAGCAGTCACAGCGAGCGGACAGGAGTGAGAGCTGCAGCCGGGAGGGGTCCTACTGGGTCTAGCCTGAGGGGCAACACGGTGTCTGACAGAAGCATAAACACTTGGGACCTCCAAACCCACAGAGCTGCACCTCTGCCAAACACCACCCACCATATTCACCACCACCATAATGCCAGCTACTCTTGAAAAACCTCCCTTTCCCAGCAGCGGTTTGTTTCAGAGCACATATGCTAAAAGCCATATGTTAAGTTAGGACACAAGAGAGTCACTCTGAGTCACTGAACTGTCTGTTCGGATAAGAATACAGTCTAATGAGGAAAGGGTTTGGGGACATTGGGCGTCTTATCACCCCGAACTGTTCCTGTGACTGTCATTTTAGTCAGCCTGCGCCAAGATGCGTGGGCGCACAACGAGAGGCCTGCAACTTCTGTTTATTTAGTCCACTTGGTGTTTCCAGAGTTGAGCCCTGCTTTACCTCAGACAGCCTTTCAACACCATGGAGCCTGTCTCCCTGCTACACCCCCTCCTTCATCCTATCACTTCCGCAGACGAAAAAAAGAAAAAGAAGCCCCGACTGGATTCACATCAAAGAAAAGGGGGGAAATAGAGGAAGAGATTTGGCGGATTGAAATCCTCTTCAAGAGTCGGTCTGAAGACGCAAATGCAAAGATAGCAGCCGTTTTTTTTAACAAGTCGGTGTTCTGTTTTAAAAGGATATGACTTTCTTTGCAGAAAATCTACATGAGTATTCAAAGTCTTTCTCCTCATGTGCAGAACTCTTCATAGATACAAGATAATACAAGATAATCAGGTTCTCCCAACAGTCTGCAAAGATCTGATTATCTGAATATTATTTTGCCAGATTTGTCCTCAGGTGTAAGATTATCTTAGAGCGATTTTACTTCTCCCAATGATACTTCTCTCCTGATGATGGTCAAGGCCACCAGATTTGAAATCTGAACCTCAAGGACAGCAGAGCGTGAAGTAAGTGAATCATCATGTGGGACAGAGCAATAAAGGATCGGGTTCTTGTGGAGAGAAAGAGACTCGCTTTAACAGGCAGAAACCTTGAGCAGAACCAGAAAGAGAGAGATGGACAGAGGTGAAACTAGTATCCCATTAGCGTCACAAATCACAGTTAGGTTTAACAGTAACAGAGTTAATGACACAGACAAAGAGATGATGGAGAAGGAGGGAAGCAGCGTAACCCCCGATTTCCACTGCATCTCTAACGGCTACCAAAAGACCGTATCCACCGATCGCAGCTGATCGTAACCATTCAAGTTAATGTGCCAATTTCCACCGACTTCTTTCCGTTCCGCTGCGGATCGCCAGACTCCACAACTGATCGCAAGAGTTCTATTTTTTCTGGACGCCGGAGCATGCACGATAATTTCAGCACAGATTAAAACGTGCTGGAAAGGAAGTCGGGCTCAGACACAAAATAAAACATCCGGCTACTTTTCGAAATAAAACGTGTTTCAGACGTATCGTATTTAACATCATGCAAGTGTGAAGTCGATTTCTTCCTCCTGATTTCGCTGGTTCTTGTGAGTTCTTGCACCTCCTGTTGTTCGTAATCTGCCACGAAATTCGCCTCACAAACGGATCCAGAAGGAATTGGCATACAGCGAAAATTGCCGCCGTTCCAGATCGGAGCCACTCTGGATGCGGTGGAAATCCCAAGTAACTTAGAGCTGGCCCAGGTCCGAACCAGGTATAACTATGAGCTTTATCGAAGAGGAAAGTCTTGAGCCTACTCAAAACTTACATCAAACCAATGAATGGAATTTTAAAGTTTTTCCTTGTATGTGAACAAAATACTTTATGTCTCAAAATTAAGTTCTCTTTTTTGAATGCCAATCTCTACTTTTCTGCGAGTATTCCCTTCACAAAACTTATGAGCCAGAAAACGCCGTGACATGCATTTCTCTTTATAGTAATATAATTTCAATGACAAGAAGCCAGTACGTGACAACATGCATTAAAGCGGAAAATAACCTGTCAAAATTAATTTAAACCTCCAGCATCACCGGCCGCCACACTGCGATCAGGAGAATCCATCTTGTCGGTCGGATCGTA